ACTACTCATGGTGAATACAAGGTCCAACCTTGCTGGTTCATCCTCTCCTCTCTCTCTGGTAGTGTCTCTAACATGTTGATGCATGGGGTTCTCCAGTACCACATCCATCATCTTGGCTCTCCAATGTTTTGGGGACCCCCATGGGGCTCCAGGTTTTCCCAGTCAATCTCTTGTGATTGAAATCACCCATAACTAGTAACTTTGCTCCCCCCATTTTGTTGCTCTCCTGGCCACCTCGGCTAGTGTGTCGATCATTGCTCTGTTGCTCTCATCGTATTCTTCTCTTGGCCTCCTGCAGTTCTGTGGTGGGTTGTACATTACTGAATTATCACCTTATGTCCCTCAGACTGGATTGTTCCTACTAAGTAGTCCCTTTCGCCCATGCCATCCATTCCTTCCATTTTCTCAAAACCCCACAGTAGCAGTGCTACTCCTCCTCCCCCTCTCCTCCCTCTGTCTTTCGTGAGGATTTGATATCCGGATGGAAAGATTGAATCTGTTATTATTCTGGTGAGTTTTGTTTCTGTGAGTGCTATTATGTCTGGGGATGTCTCTTTGATTCTTTCGTGCCACTCCTCATAGTTGTTTGTTATTCCATCTGCATTTGTATACCACACCTTCAACTTCTTTTCTAAGACTGTGGTCTGGGAGGTATATTGGGGTTGGGGAAGTGGGAGACCTGGTAAGGAACTATGGGTTGTTGCTGTGGGGGGTGAGTTTGTAATGTAGTGGGTGGGGCATTGGGATGTGGCTTTGGTGTTTTGATTTAGAGTGTTTGGTTGTACTGGGGTTGCCCTTGGTTGGGAGGCTTCTATAGGAAGTTGTGAGGGAGGCTGTATTTGATCTTCCTGGGTCTGGGTCTGTGTGTGTGTGGGGTGTGTGTGTGTGTGTGTGTGTTGTGTGTGTGTGTGTGTGTGTGGGGTGTGTGTGTGTGTGTGTGTGTGTGTGTGTTGTGTGTGTGTGTTTTGGGGTTTGTGTATGTAAGCACCTGTTTATAGTAACATGGTTCGAGTCTCCACTCCATGATCCACCTCTTCGCTGATGGCTACTGTTTTCACTCTCTTCTAGTTTAGATTGCCTTAATGTACCTCTTCTCAAACCTATGTCTGAGTCTGCCTTCTATCATTTTCCTGTTTATGTCGCTCGACATAGATTTATCTAAAACTGAAGAAATATTTTCTAACATCCATGTGATTCCTCTAAGTTGGCAATTTCAAGGTGAACCGTCGTCTTCCTGCTTTTTCTCATCTCTAAAACAATCTGTCATTATTCTCTATATAAATTACTTTAACTATTTTGAATGTTGCTATAATTATACCACTAGTTCTTCTGTCCTCCATTGTCTTCAGGCTAAGTTTCCTTGACTATTCCTTATAGGACATTTCCCTTACTTCCAGAACTAGTCTCGTTGCATACTTTTGCAGGTCTCATCAGAAGTATGTTTCACAATGATAGTGAATACTTTAATATGAGCCTAACATACAGTGCACAGTGTGGTGACTGCTGCAGAACTAGTACTGATCCTTGTGGAGTCTCATTCGTCATATTCTACCAATTCGATGCCTTTTCACGGACAATCATTCGTTGTTTCCTTCTTTTTTATGTTCATATGACCCCCGTCCTTATTTCTTTTATACTCTCTATATTTCCTTCAGCCTATCTTAATGTTCAAAACACTTCAACAAGCCATTCATCTCCCTATGAATACTTTTTATTCTAATCTGTAAATACCACACATTTCCCAGAGTCCTACCGCCTCCTCGTTACACTTATTAAAATCCATAATTCACACATATTAAATATTTTTCGTACCTCCTTACTTTAGTACATTCTCCTTGCTTGTATCCATGGATAAAGTTTCTTGTCTTCACAGACGTTTTAATGCGCCATTCATTTTTCCCCTCGTCAATTTAATGGTCCATGCCATTTTTCATAGCCCCATCTGCAGACAGATATGCTTCCAAATTTCTAAACACATTATCTTCCTTCATTCTCCCTTCAATCCGATAGCCAGCCTTTCTTTACTCAGATTTTTTCGTTACATTTTACTACTCTTTCCTATGTTTGGTTTTAATTTCTTTCATTTACTGTACCTACCTGGCAACATCTCTTCAGAATCTCTTAAAATAATCGAGTTATTAACAGAGAACAACTTTCATGACTCTCATTTGGTATCAGATGTGATATCACATAATCCCTTTCCACTCCACAAGACTGTGGTATTCACTTCATTTACAACCAAAATATATAAATATTATAAACAACTATATATATAAACAACTATGATGACATTATACACCTCAGTCAAAAGCCACATTTTAGAAAATAATGTCTCTCTCTCTAGTCTTGCTTTCAAAATAAAAATCTTTTACTGCTGTCAATAACTTACCACTTAATCCATACAGTGACATCATTTGTCTCATTCCTGTCGTATCCACCCTTTTATATGCTCTTTCTCAACCTATAAATGCAACAAAAAATTCTTTAATATAGTTAACTACCCTGTATGTCTTTATCCATCCTAAAATTTACATGTTTCTCTGCAATCCTGTTCTGTCTTACCTTTGATTATTTCAATAATTCCTGTACCATTAATAGTACCAGGAATAATAAACAGGCTTCTTACCATATGATCTTTTCACTATTTTCTCCTTCTTTCAGTTAAACAAATGAAATATTAAGATATCTGCCTATTCCAAGGTACCGTCCTAACTTTCTACATATACGGAACACTTGCACTCACTCGAAAACAATATTCCCTCTTGCTTTAAAAAATATCTATCTTGATTCCTTCTATCCTAGCTTCTTAACTCTTTTCATTGTAACCAATAACTTACATACTTTCCAACATACATCAGGCTCTTCCTCAGTCCTACAAAATATTACACTTCCCTTCTTCTTCGTAAATATTGAACTAAACTGAATATGCCATTAATCTATCGAGTCCCTCCAACTCCTCATATAATGAGTCAACTCCTTTGTTAAGTGTTAAATATATTTGTTCAAAATGCTTTCTCAAATTATTGACCTTGTTCCAACACAAGTTCAAATTCTTAGCGAAATGTGTAGATAAAATCTCATGTCCTCTCATTGGCTCTCTTTTTACCCTTACCAACCACTCTTAAATTATAAAAATATTAACAATAGCAGTAATAATAATAATAATAATAATAATAATAATAATAATAATAATAATAATAATAATAATAATAATAATAATTTTACTAATACTAAAAATATTAATATTGATGAAAATTAGACACATATGCAACATCTGGGTATCTTTTTTTTGTAGACGTTTCGCCACCCAGTGGCTTTATCAATACAGATTGTAGGACATAACTTGACGAAACTATATACAGAAGATGAGGTAATCAGTCCCTCAGCCTAGGAGTTGGTGTGAAGAGCACTGTAGTTGTAGAGGTTCTGGAGCACAGGCAAGGAGGCTGGCGCTTATATATGCGTCAGTGGATAGAGACGAGTAGCAGACGAGGGCATAGTCACGGGTAGGCGGGATTCACCAGTGGAAGCAGGTCATACCCAAGGGATGGGTTAGTGACAGTAGTAATTGCAATAGCCGTGAAAAAGGTTATATAAATGTCCTCTGAACCAAGACTCCATGATGTCCAGCATCTGGGTATCTTGATTGTATGTTGCACATGTGTCTAATTTCCATCCTGTCGGTATTGTATACAATTCGTGTAAAATTTCTTAACATTTGATTGGTAATGGTACAGGTAAGACAGCTTTTCACATAGCAGCTAAGGAAGGTAGTGAGGTTAGTGTGAAGATCCTTGATGCTTGATTGTCCTACTAAGAAACGTTAAGGGAAATCGGCCTGAGGACACTGGAGGACAGGAGGGTTAGGAGAGACATGATAATGACATACAAAATACTGCAGTGAAAAGACAAGGTAGACAGATACAAGATGTTCCATAGTGGGGACACAGAAACGAGGAGTCAATCCTGGAAGTTGAAGACTCAAATGAGTCACAGAGATGTTAGGAAGTATTTCCTCAGTCATAGTGTGGCCATGAAGTGGAACAGTCTGGCGAGTGATGTAGTGGAGGCAGGAACCATACATAGCTTTAAGACGAGGTATGATAAAGCTCATGGAGCATGGAGAGAGAGGACCTTGTAGCATTCAGTGAAGAGGCAGGGTCAGGAGCTGAGTTTCGACCCCTGCAACCACAATTAGGTTAGTGCAATTAGGTGAGTACACACACACACACACACACACACACACACACACACACACACACACACACACACACACGCACACACACACGCAAATAGCTTGGAGGTCGAAGACCCAAAGAAACAGTCGAAGATTGGCCTGGAAAGGACAAATTGGTGGAATAGTTAAGGAATATGATGGAACAAGAGTGAAAAAGGAAGCCAGGAGGGATTGTCACTAAAATAGAGGAGAGGATGGATGCAGAGAGCAAGAAGAGGGAATTGCAAGTCAAAGCTGCAGAAGTCAGGATACAAAATCCAGAAGATGAGCTAAAAATGCTGAAGCAAGATATAGAGCTGTAGAACAGAATGGGAATGCCATTAGGAGCAGATTCACCAATATCTAACGAGAGGTTCAAAGGGACTCCACTGTTAGACCACCAAGAGATGTCATTTAACGAAAGTGACATGCTGCTGGGCATAGGGATAGCAGTTAATAAGGGAAGATGGGGGGAGGGGGGTAGAGAAGGAGATAGGCAGCCAACAGTTCCAATTCTCAGCAAAATGTGTTGATGAAAACTCACCCACTCTCATTGGCGCTATTTTTACACTTACCAACCTCTCTTTTATAATAAACAAATTGCTATAATAATAACAATAATAAAATAATAATAATAATAATAATAATAATAATAATAACAATAATAATAATAATAATAATAATAATAATAATAATAATAATAATTTTACTAATAATGAAAATATAGCAATAATGCTAGTATATCAATAATTTATGGACTAACATTTGACTGATAATGTTGCAGGTGGAACAGCTCTTCACATAGCAGCTGCGGAGGGTCATGATGATTGTGTTAAGATGCTGCTTGATGCTGGTGCTGACGTCAACTGTCAGAATGATGATGGCTGGACACCACTACACTATGCTGCTGATGCGGAGGGTCATGATGATTGTGTTAAGATGCTGCTTGATGCTGGTGCTGACCCCAACTGTCAGGATAATGATGGCTGGACACCACTACACTATGCTGCTGCTGCTGGTCATGATGATTGTGTTAAGATGCTGCTTGATGCTGGTGCTGACGTCAACTGTCAGGATAATGATGGCTGGACACCACTACACTATGCTGCTGCTGCTGGTCATGATGATTGTGTTAAGATGCTGCTTGATGCTGGTGCTGACGTCAACTGTCAGGATAATGATGGCAGGACACCACTACACTATGCTGCTGCTGCTGCTGGTCATGATGATTGTGTTAAGATGCTGCTTGATGCTGGTGCTGACGTCAACTGTCAGGATAATGATCGCAAGACACCACTACACTATGCTGCTGAGAAGGGTCATGATGATTGTGTTAAGATGCTGCTTGATGCTGGTGCTGACGTCAACTGTCAGGATAATGATCGCAAGACACCACTACACTATGCTGCTGAGAAGGGTCATGATGATTGTGTTAAGATGCTGCTTGATGCTGGTGCTGACGTCAACTGTCAGGATAATGATCGCAAGACACCACTACACTATGCTGCTGCTGCTGAGGGTCATGATGATTGTGTTAAGATGCTGCTTGATGCTGGTGCTGACGTCAACTGTCAGGATAATGATCGCAAGACACCACTACACTATGCTGCTGCTGCGGAGGGTCATGATGATTGTGTTAAGATGCTGCTTGATGCTGGTGCTGACGTCAACTGTCAGGATGATGATGGCAAGACACCACTACACTATGCTGCTGCTGCTGCTGGTCATGATGATTGTGTTAAGATGCTGCTTGATGCTGGTGCTGACGTCAACTGTCAGGATAATGATGGCTGGACACCACTACACACTGCTGCCAGGTTCAACCACACTGGTGTTATTCAAGTGTTGTTAAATGATCCACGATGTGATCACAACGCTAAAGATAATAACTTCGTCACTCCACACACTGCTGCCAGAATTCAAGGTACTGTGGTAAAAATTATGTTTTCCTTACATACAAACACACAGTAAAAATAGTATTATAA